TTACTTGAACAAAAGAAATTCTGATGATCAAACTGAAACAACATTACAAGTCACGTGACCAACAATATTTTTAACCCTATACCTAGATGCACCGTTGCCATGGCAATTATACTCAATAAGAAGTATAAAATAGATTCATCCAGTTAGATAATAAGGATGGTTAAATTAAAAAGAAAATACAAGCCTTCCATCACTTAAAAATAAGAAGAAAGTAAGTTATCTAGACATATTTAATTTCAATAAAACTTAAAAAGCAACTTAGACTTTGGCAGGTTATAGGCTTTTTCCCAACCAATTGCCTGCGATGACTACAGCTCATAGTAAATGAACATACAATACCAACAAAAATGTCAAAAACCATGTGCTACGAGCGAAAATTGATTGCCCTTGTCTGAAATCCAAGCTCGGTATATAAATTGCTCCCAAATGTCTGAAGCTGTAGTCTGTTGTCATCCAATTCAATCCCTATGAATAGCTCTTAGTAGGAAAATTATCGTACTTGTATTTAAACTATGTATCTACCAGGAGATCCAATGAACCTCGTAATTCAAGTATCAATGGTTCAAACTTAAACTTGGACAAGTATGTAAGACATTAATTTCATTAAAGGCATATGAGAAAATTAAAGCTCGTAAACTTGAAAATTAATCAGATATCCTAAGCTCTAAGATCAACAACTCAATAATCTCTCCGCTGAATATTTATTGATGGGGTTGGATGAAAAATTGTTGTTTTATGGCGATGCAACATATAAGTGGACAATAAAAATTAAAAAGGAATGGCACTTTTATAGTTTACAAGACTTGGGGGGATACTTCGGTAATTTAGGTGAATATGATTTAAAGTCCGTGACTTTATTTGTCTTTCAATTGGTTAGTGAGCTTTAGAGTCCAAAATCAGCACCAAACAAAGCACGAGCAACATCAGAAAACGAAAATCAAATATGGCACAATTTGATCAAACTTCGGTACTCGATGCTTCTTCTTGAAATTTGGATTCATTTACCCAACATATTAGTCTTCAAATTTGTACTATTACAATAAACAGATACAAGTGTTCATTTTGTAATTGATAATGATGTATCAATAATGTCGGTGTTTAATATCTCAAAGAGATCAAACTGTGAATTAAGGCTCATTACCCACACAAAATTGAAATAGGCATTTAGTCAAGTTAGTAAAATTAATTATTTACATTTTCCTATCCAGTGGATTCCAAATATACAAGTCTCTTTACTTGTAAGTTTGTATCAAACTTAAACTACTCACACTCTTTTGAAGATACAACAATATGATATACAAAACATGTTTAACTTCATTTATAAAACATCAAAAGAAATCTGGGTCATTTTATATGTAATAGTTGTTACTGTTTCATGTATATTTGAAAATAATTAAGAAAATACAAAACTAAAATTGATTCGTTGGTCTAGGTTCAAAGTCCCAATAAGTTATAACTCATTTCCCATGCCCCTAGAGAAAACTACAAATTTGGGTTCGTGGCTTTCCTCTCAAATTATCTCGGATGCAAGCCTCTCAGCTGCAAAATTCACTTAAATAGCGTTTTTAAATACTTTTGTTATAAATTTATTTCTTTCTTTAATTTAAATTTCTAAATCTAGTTTATGTTAAAGTTACGAAGACAATGAACTCGAGCAGTTTGTCGGCTTATACGGCCGACTAAATTGGGCACGACCCATTGGCGGACTGAGCTCATTGAAATGCTGGTCATGTGTAGAGCATGACCCTAATTTCTTAAAAAGAGATATCTCGTGAATGGTTAGGAGCCTAGCTCATTGGGCAAGCTCAAGGTCAAGTCCATGAGCCTGCTCGTAAGCATGCACATGATTTAACAAGTCGATGTATCTTGCAGCGATCATCTCAATTAGATGCTGCTTTGCATCCTCAAATTGAATTTAAATGTAAAATTGGCCTATTGAAGTTAAAAATTTGAAATTTAAATTACTTCTTTTTAAACTCTATTTCTCCTTAAATCACTAACATTTCAGAATTTATTGTGATGTTATTGAAACTTTCAGAAGCGGAAATTTTGTCATATCCATCCTTAATCTCTTGTTTGCATATTCTGCTCGAGGTGTCCAGGAATGTGATGACGGAATTTTGCATTAAATCAAAAAAAAAATCTATATTTCATTTCTTCTTTGGATGGCCATGAAACGATTGAGAAAATTAATTTTCACCAAGTGCATATAAAATTTATTTACAGTTAGCAGGGGCGGAGCTAGAAGATAAGATTTGTGGGGGCAAATTACAAAAAAAAAAAATATTAGTTGCGGGGGCAAAAATTGAAAACTACAAGGACTTCTTTGAAAATTTTGAAAAAAAAATTGAACAAAGTATTGAATTTTCAAAATTACTGTGGGGCACCTCCCCCCCCCC